AAATTTCACGCGAGAATTTAACTCGTCTTGGTGAGAGATGTATATTGCGTTTCTCTTTCTCTCCTTCTCTCTCTCTCTCTCTCTTCTCCATAATAACGAGGTCTGAGAAAAATAAAGCACACAGGATCTTTACACTAACAGCCTGATACGACGTGAGGCGCGTGAATCACAATATAATTATCCACTTTGTGTCTTTTAAACTTTTCTCTCTCGCCCTCCCTCTTTCTCTCTCTCTCTCTCGCTCTCTCCCTCTCTCTCTCTTTTATCCTGATCTCCCTCCGCAGCTTCCATCAACACACAGGCTTCGAAACGTCACTCCCATTACGGGCGCACTTCACTTCACATGTAAATGAGCACAGTACATCAAAACGGACGATTTGGCTCAAGCTTTTGGAGAACTTTCGACACCTCAAGTCCCTTTACGTGGGCCCCGACTCCCCTCCTCTCCTCCCCTCACTCCCTTGCCCTCTCTCTCCTCTCCCTCTCCCCCTTCCCCTCTTTTAAAATATATGAAACGTAATAAATCAAAAGTTGTTTATTTTGCGGTGCTTTTCCAGGAGGGAAGAAGGAGCGTTTCGGCGCGGCGCGAGGCTGGCTGGAGGCTCGCCGGCGCTCGAGCGAATGAGCTGCCCTCTGTTGTTTATTTAGCCGAAGGGGGCGGGGCTTGCGAGGCCCGTGGCGATGGATGGTCCGCGGTTGCCATATGAGGAGCGGCTGAACTTTTGCTTGTATTGCAGTCTTCCTCATTTGGAATTTGATTTTTTGGGGTGATTTCGAAATGAGGGTGGATATTGCTTCTTTAGAGATGATAGAAATTGGAGGGAGGGAGTGAAGTGCGTGCATGTAGATGGCCCGGAGCCGCCATGATGGCAGCTTCCGATACAGTATCTCATTGGTCTCGGCCGTGACTCCGCCCCGGACGAAGGAGGCTCCGCCCACCCGTCCTTTTTCGGTCATATAAATACCGGGCAGACCGAGGCGTTGGTAGATTTCTCATAGCACTCGTGGATTGTTGTTGCGTACTCCCTCACGCCCGCTCTGACGCTCGAAAAAAATGGACAAATCCACCGCCGTCACCGACCAGAAGCCCGCTCAGAAGCCGAAGCTGTCCTTCAGCATCGACGCCATCCTCGGCAACGACGACAGCGGCAGCGCCCGCACGCCCTCGCCAGATCCCGAGTGCCGCCCCGCCTCCTCCTGCAGCGCCACCAGCGACGTGTCCTTCGCCAGCCACGACTCCGACAGGTCCGTGAGCCCTTCGGCGGCGCCCGCGGGAAGGCCCGTCCAGAGCACCCTCCCCGCGCAGTGGGTCCCGGCGCACCCGTACTTCCAGTTCGCCGCCGCCGTTCACGGTAAGTCCGCCTTGGTCTCTCTGGGGAGAAGCTTCGGCCGAATCCTTCCTCCGAACGTGAAAAAGCGTTTCTCAAACCCCTTCCCTCTCGAGGCCGGAGACTAACCGACTTGTCTTCCCGCAGGATCCCCGACCCTCCCCAAGCTGCCCAGCTCCGTAGTTTTGCGCAAGCACAAAGCTAACCGGAAGCCGCGCACGCCCTTCACCTCGGAGCAGCTCCTGTCGCTCGAGAACAAGTACCGCGAGAAGCAGTACCTGAGCATCGCCGAGCGCGCCGAGTTCTCCGCCTCGCTCAGCCTGACGGAGACGCAGGTCAAGATCTGGTTCCAGAACCGCCGCGCCAAGGACAAGCGCCTCAAGGAGGCCGAGCTGGAGCGCCAGAACCGCCCTCTGTACCCGACCTACGGCGGCCTCCTCCCCATGGGCGGCCTCGTGCCCTCGCTGGCCCTCCAGAGGCCCCTGGTGCCCCTCCTCGGGTAGAGCCCCTGGGGAGACGCCCTTGCAAGTACCTGCAGCAGCCCAAGACAGCCCCGGCGCCCCTGAGGCCTCCTCCTCTCCGTCGGCCCTCCTAGTCACCCGCCGCCACGGTAAGGGCCTGTCCTTGTCGCCTCGAAGTCGTGCAGACATTCACTCCCATCAGAATTTCGACCATGGCTTCCCGGGCACGTGACCTGGGAAGCCAATCTGAATATCCTCACTGAAGGCCCTCAGCTCGATCCTATTCCTAAATTAAATCAATGTTGATACTCAGGTCACTACACATTTTTAGATTTTGATTTTTAGATAAATTAATACAGACAATTACAGCCCCACAAACAAGGAAAATATTATCAAAACTAACGGTATCTTTTTTCTTTCTCTCTACCAGGGTCTGCACCAGCTGCCACCCCCTCTCTCCCCGTCGGTGACTCTCGACTGCACGCTCTGTCACGCCCACCGCGCATGACAGGAATGTTGTTCACGCCCACAAACCTCCCACATCCACGCCCATTATGGATATCTCAGTGGCCGCCCGCTGGAAGACGGAGATATAGACTGTGATAAAAAAAAATGTTAATAGATAAATACTTTTTTGTAAACATATTTTTAAAAAATGTTGGATATTCTTGTGAATTTATATATATACAGTATTCGTAATAAAAGATGAAGATGAATTTTATACCATGTTTCTAATACCCAATTTCAAACAGAAGTTTTTTTACTATAGATAATTATTTTGATTGAAGTTAAAATAGAATCTAAGCTGTTAAAATTCATACAACTTTGATCCAAACCTAACTGGATGTATTGATATGATTGATATGAATGTTGGCAAATATTGGTATGTAATATGGCTTTCTAAATATCTAATTGAAACTGACTAATTTTTACGTTCAAATAATGTTTATGGGATGGAAGAATTTTGAAAAATAGATGTAACAAATATTTAACGTTTATGAACAATCTTCAAATTATTATATAAAAATAACGAAATCAATTTAATGAGAGATGCAATTTGTAATTTGTAACTCACAAACCTTTAATAAACCTCCCTAAAAAAAAGAGAAACCGGTAACCCTACTTAGCCATCCCCCTTTCCTCCATCTTCCTCCTCTTTCCCTCCTTCTCTCCCTCACCCCTCTCCCCTCACTCTCCCTCTCCCCTCTCCCATCTCCCTCTCCCTCACCCTCACCCCTCTCCCCTCCCATCACCCTCTCCCTCACCCTCTCCCCTCACCCCTCTCCCTCACCCCTCTCCCTCCCCCTCACCCTCAACCCCTCTCAAATTCATCTTAAACCGATTTTCTCCGAGTCCTTGTCAACCCCTGTTTTGCCAAGTTGAAGACGTGACAAAGTTTCTCTTCAGATTAACCAAGATTAACTCCAGATTAGCATCCTCGTGAGATGAGCTTAAGAGGACATGAGGGTTGAGATGCGTGGAGATCTAAGGATGCTGGTGATAGGTCCATAGACGTGTTTTTTTTCTATTCTTGTTTTCTTTTTTTTCTTTCTCTTTCTTTTACTTTATTTCTATTCTTGTTCTTTTCTTCCTTTCTTTCTTTCTTCTCTTTCTCTTTCTTCTTTTTCTTTCTTCTTTCTTTTCTCTTTTGACGTTTTCTTTCTTCTTTCTTTCTCTCTTTCTATTTCCTTTTTGACGTCTAATGGGAAGGTATAATTAAAAAGTTAATTAAGTGTGGTGTTATAGTGTCTGGAAGAGGAGGAGAAGGAGGAGAGGAGGAAGATGGATAAATAGACACAAGGAGAAACGAAGGAAGACAAAACACAATAGAATAAAATGGGGAAGTAGAAGAAGAAGAAGAGGAGGAGGATGTTAGTAAAACATATGAGAAGAGGAAGATAAAGATGGATGAACAGATAATAGGAGGGACGGACGAGAAACAAAAAATAACAGAAGAAAGAAAGAATGAAAGAAGTTGTTGAGACGAAAGAATAAAAGAGGAGAGAGGAGAAGAAGGGAACACTAACATTAATGTTATTATTGTTATTGCAAATATTATTGCTATCATTACTATTACTATTATTATTACTATTATCATTATCATTATCATTACTATCATGATTATTATCTTTGTTATTACCATTGCTCTTATCATTATTATTATAATCATCTTTACTATTATGCATTCTTAAAAAAAAGCTTTGATTAAGGTAATTTCATCGTAATCATTATCATCATTATCATTATTGTTATCTTTACTATTGAGCTAATTACTATTGTTACTATTATTGTTATTATCGTTGATATCATCACGATTATTATTACTTTCATTACTTTTCTTATTATCAATATTATAATTTTTCACTATTATCTTTGTTATTATCATCATTATTATTACTACTACTACTATCATTAATATCATCATTACTAATATTACTGTTATTATTATTGTGATAATTATCATTATCATTATTACCAATATCATTATTGTCATCATTATTGTTAATATCATAGTTATTATTATTGTTGCTGTTACTATTATCATTATTATTATTATTATTATTATTATTATTATTATTATTATTATTATTATTATTATTATTATTATTATTATTATTATTATTATTATTATTATCATTATTATCATTATTATTATCATCATCATTATTTATTATATTATTATATTATTATTATTATTATTATTATTATTATTATTATTATTATTATTATTATTATTATTATTATTATTATCATTATCATTATTATTATCAATTATTATTATTATTACTATTATTATCATCAATCATCATCATAAATAATATTATAATTATTATTATCATTATTATTGTTGTTGTTGTTGTCATTATTATTGATTATTATTATTTATTATTATCATTATTATCATTATTTTGATTGTTATTATTATTATTACTAATAGCATCATCAGTTTTCTATCATTATCATTATCACCATTATCATTATCATCACTATTACTCTTATCATCATTATCATTATCATAATCTTTATCATTATTATCATTATCATTATTGTTATTGTTATTTTTACTATTCTTGTTTTTATCTTATGTTATCATTACTATTATCGTTATGATTATCATTATCATAATCTTTATCATTATTGTTTTATTATCAAAATTATCATTACTATTACTTTCATCTTTATCATTATCTTTAGTTGTAGTAGTAGTATT